TTGAAGAGAAGGTGTAGTTATTGCTTCGTCGTAGTGTACCAGAATTTACTCCATCATGTCGGTTTCCTCCGGATCTGGTCCACTGGGGGAATCGATGTCCGATGAAGGAGTGGCTTTTGGCGTACGTTGAGGCTTCCAAAAATTTACTTTAGTGTTGTCCTTAAATTCGCGGAATAGGACACCCTTGGGTTAGGTTGACGTTGAGAGGGTTCTTGACTTGTGGTCCGGGTTGAGTCCGATTTTGAACGAAGTGAACGTCATGGTATTTACATCTTTTCCTTTTGCCACCAGACGGACGACCTCGACATCTTCTGTAGCTAGGCGTTTCATTGCGAGATCTCGTACTTGACCGGTGGTGACATCACGAGAAATGACAAGTGACAAGTACAGCCAGAACTTTGGTTCCGGTGGTGGCGCGGTAAAAAACCAAGTGATGGCGATAAGGATCCATCTGTCCCGCACATTAGATCCTTTTGATTCTTCACCTTAGGGTGGCTCGGTTCAGGCTTACCAAAAAGCCTACGACGTCGAGCAGTTCGTGTTGAAGACGTATGCGTTAATGAGCTTGAGTTGACCAAAGCGGAGAAGTTTGAACGGATCTTCTGCTTAAGCTCAGACTTAATGTCTGATTTTAGTTTCTCGACGATCGCCTTGTGGCCAGTGAGAGCAATTTCCTTCCCAGCTTCGTAAGCGCGTCGAACAGAGGTACGGAATCGGATGTCGTCCATAAGCTTGGTGCACGATTTGCACTTCCAAAACAATTGCTTGTTATTGGACGTTTCCACCAAGGCTGTAGGAGAGACGCTGGAGCATTTCAGATGGAATACAGCTTTACAAAAGCCGTTACAGGTAATTGGAACATCTGTTACTTCGATGGTGCAAGAGTGGCAAATTGTCGTCATTTTGTGAAAGGTGGCTGTTTATGTAATCACTCGACTATTGTACGTCACTGTAAAGGCCGGCACACAATGCATACGTTTTCGGGGTTTTTGACAGATAATCCATGGGCTAACTGTCAAAAAACCTGAAAACGTATCTATTGTGCGCTGGCCTTAATGAAGCTTCGAGATGAGGATTCGCCTTTAATTAGGCAGCGCAAACTCAGCTTGCGTGCAAGGAATGCTTCCAAATGATGGAGAGAAGAAAAATACGCAAGGGGTGGAAGACTATTTTTCCGACGGAGTGATCGATCACTAATTGAAATCACTAATAGCAAGTCTATTCAGTACAATAACACTGTGAGGGGTTCTAGAAAACTTCACATTGACGAAATCAGACTTTAGGTATGATAAAATAAACCGAAAACACGATGAAAACAGGTAAACAAAAACCGCCGATAAAAACTTTTCACGTAAACAAACAGTGTTGCCTTGTTTCAATTTGTAAAACAATATTTTTAATTTTTGAAAACAAAGACAATGAATTTTTGATAAACTTTTAGCTGAGCTAATTCAGGGACTGACACATTTCTTTTATCTCTTAGCGTTCTTATTTTTGAGTATTTTTCCAGAATTGAAACAAAGCTTTTAGCTCAAATTTTATGTTTTAAATGTCTCGTGAAAGTCGTGTTTAAAAAACTTTAAAATCTTTTGCAGAATAAAGTAAATTAATGTATCTTAAAGATCACGCGATACAAAAGATTTTCTCTATAAAATCCACCCTTCTAATTGTCAGAGTGATTCAGATTGTGAACATCGAAATTACGTCTAAGACAAAATTGTAGAGAATAATAAAGTGTTTCTGGGAAAAATACAAATTAATTATTGGTATATCGAGCCATTTTTTTTTAATTGTCGTTATTACAATATTCTAATATGTTCTTACCTTTTTCTTCTTCAATTCGGGACCTAATACCACTACCACCAGTAATTTGATATATTTTAGTATATCCCGTTTCCTTAGTTTAGTGCATGTCGTATTACTCCATCACTATTTTGAGAAATGATGAAGTATTCAATTTTTTACAGTTGCCATTCTTGCATTTATCGCAAGGATCCGACTCTAATTGAAAGGTCTATTTATACCCATCGGAATGTTAAAACACCCTTCAAAGACGCACCCTTTTGTCAGTCAAAATTGGATTCCTTAGCAACATAATTAAGGAATGACACCAATAATGACCATGCTTCAGAGCCCTAGTCTTAACCACTTCAAACTAGGGAACAACGAATAGTAGATTAGGACTTTCGACTCATTTTTACTAAAACAATCTAATCAAATAGAAAATCAATCCTCTTACAACAAACAAAAAAGCTATTTTCTATTACTCTCCAAAGAGTCAACATCCGTTAATAAATTGAAGAGAGAATGGAAAAAAAGTATTAATCCGATAAATCTCGATGAACATTTCAAATGGTCCTATCTGCTTTGATCGATTCTCTTCATCGACTTTCTCTTTCGTTAATAACTCAGCTGCAAAACCTTTCCCTGTTGTATTTGACGTTTTGGACGCTAGATAAGAACCTCCTTTATCAAACTATGTGGTAGAATTAGCGCGAAATCTGTTTGCATCGCAGTGGTTATGAAAAGAGAAAGTCGATGAAGAGAATCGATCAAAGCAGATAGGACCATTTGAAATGTTCATCGAGAAATGTAGTTTTTCGCCACTGTACAATATTGTTACGATATCATTTTGTTTTTTGTTAAAACCCAGTTTAAAGCTCATTAATTGTGTTTATGCAATTTTTATAGAATACATACACCCTTTACTTGGACATACCCAAGTATTGGGGCAGAGCTTGGGTAAATTATAGTGAATTAATCACTTTGTCGATTGAAAAATCCCATTATTGCACATTTCTTGCAGTCATCACGTCGAAATACGTCATGATGCCCAAGGTGCTCATCCCATTATTGTACCCCCCGCTTCTCAAAAACGTCAGAGAAGTCTTTAAGTGAATGAAAACCACGCGCACCTATATTTATAATTTACCCAAATGAGCAAACGTTAGAGGAATTTATTGCCTTTGCTAGGACAGGATACAGCCTTGTCCGGTTATCCCGAACAACACCAAAGTACATCATACACGCCACCTGTCAAAAGCACAGTCGATGATAACTTTATCCACTAACCGACAACCACGTAGCCCAATGAAAGCTAACTTCAAATAAAAAAAGGAACCAACTTTAAATCCAATCCGGTCTACCGTCTACTCTAGTACCCTGGCCGAATAATGTAAACAAGTGATGCAAAAAATTGGGTTAGTGCAGGGATTTCAAACGGCTTTGAAAAGCAAAACAAGTTCTCAGATTTCTCGCCTAGAGTAAAAGTGGAAGTACACTGCTAGCTACCTAGCGGGTGAAAAATTGCTTCTCTCTTCTTGGGAAATTTCAGAATGTGGGTGCTGTTGGCCTAGAGTGCAGTGAAAACTGAACGTAAGACCAAGTTGGGACGACAGACGCTACATGAGAGAGACATCACTGACACCACCAGCCCCAAAAACTAAAGCCATTTTAGCGCGTCGACGCTACTCCTTCACAGCAGCCAGCGGTAGGTACATTATACGTAAAGAGAAGAAGCCAAATCTAAATCTTTGTTGTTGGCACGCTGACTGGCCATGTATTTTTGTTCCTCTGTCGGTTCGGTAAAGAATTACAGTACATCAGACCGTGATGGTAACAGTAAAGGGTATGCATGCGCGCCCAGTCCTGGATCCCTTGCTATGACTGAAAAGCTTGAGGGTCTTCTATAGGGCCTTGTATGTGGTATACTGCCGTTATACATATCCACGGTCCATAAGGATTGTAAGAAAATGTTCAGAAGAGCATTTTCAACGGGTTTCCTTGGAATCCTTTCGATGTGAGATGGTGGTTCATTCGACGCGCCATGGTCGATTAAACCGAAGACAAGATGAAGTAGGTATAGTGTGAGCGAGCGAGCAAATTTTTTCTCTGGCTTCAATACAATAGAGAAGTGATAAGGGGATTCTCAATTAAGCTAAAAGGTGCGATAAGAGAAAAATAAATGGAGCACCAGAATAGATTCTAAGAAGGATACTAACAGAGATAATGACTTGCAAAAAAGCTAGTCAGAAAGTCTGAAAGCCATACCTACTGATACATATACAACAAACATTTTGCAGATATGTTTTATAACGAAATGCTAAATTCTTTTAACACAATATGAAAGAAGAAAGCATTTCCTTCACAAATCCAAAAATATTCCTAGTGATTGTCATCAAAAACCTTAGAACAAATGACGGCGGCTGTTGATTATAGTATATTTATGTATACAACGAATCCTACATGACGTCCAAAAATTAGAAAACGAACAATAAAAGAGATAATCTACCCTATCGACCCTTTCCGACCTGAGACAGCGCTTACATAAGTCAATGGGATTTCCCTCCGATATTTGCTAGAAGCAATTGAACAAAGGAGAAAATATGAAAATATATTCCTTTGGCGTAGTTCGAGCAATAAAGCAATAAAAACGGATGAGATATCATCGCCTTAACGGTATTAAAGTGAGCGTCGTCTTCCCGATGATGCTTGCAATGTAATCTAGCCACGATGTGAATGTGAGTAGAGCGAACCACCAACTGGAACATTCATGTAAATAGAGAGATAAAAGTTATGTACTTCAATAAAAACCAAGCGCAGTGACTCACTCGCTTTCTATCTATTACTCTCCCCTACTGATGTAACATTGTGAATATAATCTCAATGCAAGGATCTACAGTGTGTTGGATCTATCTGGTACATTTTGCTCTTCCCGAATAAAATCCTTCTACCCGTCCCAATGCGATGTTCGCCACTACTGTTCAACAAAAGTAGACAAAAGCAGCAAAAATGACTCATGCCCGATGTCAAAGATGTAATTGAATGTCACCACTTTAATTGCAATTTAACACGAGAATTAAATTTTTAAGTGACGGTTACATTTGCCATCTTTGCTGCACAAGAACTAGATCTCCTATTCCATCAATTGCATATTCCACCCGGAGAAGATGGGTGCACTCAATTTCATAGTCCTCTGTTTTGTTCTTTTATCTTTGCAGTTCTACGCTCTCACCGAGCAAAATGAAGTGGCATCGTTCAATCTGAAGCAGAGATCGTTGACCATTTTTGCACCAACAAATCAAGCATTCCAGCGATACTTTGGCAATAAGACGTTGGTGCAGTATCACATGTGTAAGTATATGTAACGAGAACGATCATCACCAGTCGTGAGTCAAACCAATATTGGTTAAACGAGCTTTCAATCATTTTAAAGACTATGGCGTTACTATTCTATATATTTCTAACTCCGATATTGAAAGAGCAAGTAAGAATCTAGGAGGAGCAGACTGCATGCAGATGCCGACGAGTAGAGTAGTGCCAGGACAAATAGAAAAAAAAAATAATCACATTTTAGATTTTACCTCTCAGAATTCCATAAAAACTTCAATAATAAAAAAGGACGTATATTAATTTATAGACTTATGTTTAATGTTATATAGTTTGATTATTTAAAAGGCTCAATTGCGTCTGCTTGGAGGTGCCAGTCTGAACGGTAGTGCGGCTCTAGATTCGTCTGGAGTTCGATCGGCTATGGTAATCAGTGGGGCCGGGAGGACAAGACAAAGAAAAACTAATAAAGAGAGATAAAAAACAATGGAATTAAATTCTTATACAAGACATTTGCAAAAACACATTAATCGACTGCATATACTAGAGATCGCGAGTTCCCAACACGTCGCTGCTAGGTAAGGTGGTCTCACGGGTATTCAAAAGTCGCTCTCTGACGGTGTCATTATCCGTACATTGCCAAACTGCGTGGTCGATGTCATCGTAACCATTTCCACACCGACAGATGTTTTTTTCTTCTCTAATCTGTAGATCCTTTTTAAAACTGCGTCCATTACATAGAAATATTTTCTGACCCATTTTATTTTGGTGCTAGTCACATATCCTCTCACAATTAAGGTAAGATGGACAGTTGTTGACATTGCACGCTGTCCCAATCAGGCACAACTCGTCTTATAAAGTATAATACCATGTTGAGATTGCTTTGCCAAACTTCAAAGGGTTCTAATATCCGTTTTCCAAATATTGACATTCTTTGATTGAACAGTGCTCCACAGCTGCAGAGTATATGTTCAGCAGTTTCGTTTTCAAATTGACAAAACCGACATTCGCTAGACGGAATTTTTCCTATTTTATAAAAGTTATATCTGCTAGGGCAGTGACCAATCATCAAACCACTTAATACCCGTAGATCTCTTTTACTAAGATTAGGTAAAATCCGGTTTTTTGCTGCACTTGGTCTTATAAATCTTTTCGCCTGTCTGGATACATCTGTGGCGTTACAGTTGGATTCTACTATGGACGTTTCCCAACTTGTTAGGTCCATCCTTATAGTACACTCAGGGACTCCACAAAATGGTTCCGGACCGATGAAGTTCGATACTCGTCTTGCTAGACTGTCGGCATTTTCATTTCCTTCAATGTCACAATGGCTGGGCACTCAGTATAATATGAATTCGTTCCTTTCGGCCAATCGTTTTAAGGAAAGAATACATTCATACACTAGCTTCGATCGACATGTGAACGCCTTAAGCCCAGATCTTGGCAAATCTGCTTGAAATACTGTTCGACTATGTCCCATTATTATAATTTCACTGACTCCAGGGCCAAAGACCCCAGCTCGAATATCTTCACCCATCTTCGAGCCGTCGGTATAAAATACAATAGATCCTGGACGTATGTTTTGCCCTCCAGACTCCCATGTATGGCGGCTTGGTTTAACCACTTTGAAGGGAACATCGTAGTTTGTATTTGTTACCATCCAATTTTCTATTGTTTTTACAGCTGAACCACCAAGTCACCATCTAAAAGTTTATTTTGACGGTTAAACTGTAAAGCACTTTTTGCTGCCTGTAGTTTAACAAATTTGTGTAAGGGCAAAATATTGTTAAAGGCACAAAGTATTTGATGATGTGCTTCTCATTGCTCCTATCATTGATATACAAGCAAGTCTTAGTATTTTTCTTAACTTCTTTTGAGCGGTTATTTCATTTGTTTTAGGCCACCATATCAGTGAAGCATAGGTAATTTTTGGTCGAACTATGGCCGGATATATCCAGTGTACCATATTCGGTCGTAGTCCTCACGTTTTTCCCACAGCTTTACTATAGACCCACAGCGCATTTGTAGCCTTAGTGATAATATTGTCAAGATGAGAGTTCCAATTCAGTTTGCTATCCAAAGTAACACCTAGGTATTTAACTTCATCCGCGAACTGAATTCGAACTCCATCTAGAGTAGGCTGTGTCAACATATTTTTTTTCCTTTTGAGTTTTTGAAGGATTTACATTAAAGCTATCTCTCCTACACCAATGGAAGGACATGTTTAGGGGAGATTGTAACCGATTTGAAAGCGTGTTCTCAAACTTTTCCGCACCATAATGCCCACACCGTCTGCGTAACCAATCACCTCGAAACCCTGCTCCGCTAAACTTTTAAGGAGTTTTTCCACTACTAAAGACCACAATAAGGGTGATAGTACCCCTCCTTGAGGACGTGTACACGACGTTAGGCATACGGACGTTAGGCATACGGACGTTAGGCATACGGACGTTAGGCATACGGACGTTAGGCATACGGACGTTAGGCATACGGACGTTAGGCATACGGACGATAGGCATAATGTACGATAGGCATAATGGACGTTGGGCATAAAGGATGTTAGTCATAATCTACGCGATGAATTCCAGAAGGATTATAATGGGGACCGTCTATTGATTGCAGACTTCGTTGACGATAATAAAAGAGCCTTAATTTTTGGAACTCATGAAAACTTGTGACGTCTTGGACAGGCAAAGTATTGGGTTACAGATGGTACGTTTGCCACAGTTCCTTGTTTGATTCGGCAACTCGTCACTGTAAGTATTGCTCCCTCACATCAGCAGACAGTTCCGCTAGTTTTCATTCTGATGACAACAAAAACAGAATCGTTGTATCAAAAAGTATGGCAGAAAATCCTGGAAGCAGCAAGTATGTTTTTTTTTTGTTATTGAATGAAAATCCACAGAATTCACCATTCTTCATTTCATGAGCTGTTCTTTGGCATTATATTTTATTCAACCTTAGCTGTTTTTTTTTTGTTATTGAATGAAAAATCACAGAATTCACCATTCTTTATTTCATGAGCTGTTCTTTGAGGAAAACCTTTTCTTCTTTGACGATTGCAATTATTACAACGTATTACAACAAATGTGTGATTTTTTTTAATCCTAGATGTTATTCATTTCAAGATATAGTTCAAAACTATGTTGAGTTTTCATTGCCACTATCGCTACTAATCTTGGATCTAAGTAAATATGTAGCTACGTCAATTATGATATGATAAATAATGGATTCCAAGCTGTGCTTTTAAAATAAACTATGTTTATTTAACTTGAATCATTTTTTATTCAAAGCTTAACCTAATTTAAGCATTGTTTACCATGCTCGAAACAGGTTTCTAGAGTTGCACAGCTGCAAGGTATTTTATGCCTAGCGTCCATTATGCCTAATGACTTTATGCCTATCGTCCATTATGCCTGACGTCCGTATGCCTAACGTATTTATGCCTATTTAATGGGGTGTACTCCTTGAGGACAACCCTTCATCGATCTTATAGTTAGTTGCGCAAAAAACTTTCTCGCTATTATCCATTATTCATTCGATAATACAGTTATCTAAGCCTCTTGCTTCCATAGCTGAACGCATTGAGCTGTAGGATGTATTATCGAATGCTCCTTCAATATCAAGAAAAGCCACCACGGCTATTTCCTTGGCTTCAAGCGATTTCTCGATTTTATTAACCAGCAATTGTAATGCCGTTATCGTAGATTTACCTGATTGATAAGCGAATTGAAATTTGCTTAGAGGTAACCTTGCTAAACTTGTTGATTTAATAAAGTCATCCACATTTTTTTTTTCCATTGTCTTCAACAGAACAGAGGACAGGCTTATGGGTCTGAAGGCTTTCGGATTCGTTTTATCCCTTTTTCCAGCTTTTGGAATGAAGACAACTCGAACCTTTCTCCATGTTTTTGGTATGTGGTTCAAAGCAACACTGGCTTTAAGTAGTTCAGTTAATAGGGGAATGAGTACTTATTTTCCTTGTTGAAGTAATGCTGGGAATATTTCATCTTTTCCGGCAGAGTTGAAAGGTTGAAAAGAACTCAACGCTTATTCAACTCTAGATGGTGTGAAGATTTCACAAGCTTTCAGATCTAGGTATCTTCAGATCATGCACGTCTAGCCTTGTCAAAGTCCTGTTCTTCTTCAGCCACCAAAGGAGTCGACCCTGGGACGTGAGTCCATATCTTTTCTTCCAATGTTTCAGAAGAGTCAGCAGTAAATGTCCCATCTTCTTTTTTGAGGCTACCAAGACCATTTGAATAGTCTTTTGAAAGAACTTTATGCATCCTCGCAGCTGTTGGAGCGCTATTGATGTCTTCAAATACCGCCTCCAGTACTTTCGTTTGGCTCGCCTCAATTCTCTGCTGTATTCAGTTAGAGCCTTTTTGTATTGGTCCCAATCTGGGCCCCTGTTATTTATTATGTATATTAATGACTTGCAACGTGTTTTACGATTTTGCGACATTAATCTTTTTGCAGATGATACTGTGTTATTCATTGCAGCTAAGGATTTAGATGATGCCGTTTTACACTTGAATGAAGATTTGCGTTCTCTAAGTAGATGGTTGAAGTATAAGCAGTTAAAATTGAATACAAGTAAAACTAAATGTATGGTAATTTCGCGGAATCGAGAAAATGAGAACGTCTCTGTTGTAATTGATGATGAGACTATTGATCGCGTTTGGGAGATTAAATATCTTGGCGTGATTATTGATGACACACTTAAGTTCAACTCTCACATTGACAATGTCATCAAGAAAATTGCCAAGAAGTATGGAATTCTATGTCGACTGAAAAACGATTTAACTATTGCCAGTAAAATACAGCTATACAAATCAATCATCTCTCCTCATCTTGACTTTTGCCCTTCTATTTTATTTCTGTCCAATGCAACACAAATATCGAGATTACAGCGCTTGCAGAGTAAAAAAATGCGTTTGATTTTGAGATGTAATAGATTCACTTCCTCAACTTTGATGTTAGACGCCTTACAATGGTTGTCGGTGAAGCAAAGAATTGTA